AGGCTGAAGTTCTCGGATCAGTAACACACTGTAGAGCAAAGATTGTATAGCGCCGCGCAGCGGCGCTGTATAATCTTTGCTGTATAGTGCGTGGGGCCGGGGCCGGGGCCGGGGCCGGGGCCGGGGCTGGCCTGCCCGCGATTCAGCCCGAGATTAAGTCTTGGTTTCAAGACGTTAGTGCTTGATAGCAGACACCGTGCATAGTGCGCCCCCTAACGACTCATAATTAGACTGTGCGTTACTGAGAATACGTAAAAACTAGTTATGCGAGGGCGCTCTTCAACAGAAATAAAACAACTACCGATAATGACGTCTTGGGCCAAGACTACCCGAGATTCAGCACGCGATTCGGGTTTACCTCAATAACAAAAATCCATGCAGTGAAGGGAGGCAGTAATTTTTCCACTTTGCGGTTCCACGATAAACTGAACGAATTTTTGAATTTCTCAAACAAGCAGCATTTTCCACGATGAAATTGAAAAAAAATAACATCCATTGCAGGGAAAGGTTTTATAATCAATCTGATTTCATCGCATATAGGTCAGTTTCATTTCTTTTATTTGGGAGACATGCTCTAGGCTATTCAAAATCTAGGATATTCAACAGAAACCGTATTCCATTGTTGTGACTTGATTTGAGGAAAGGTTTACCAAAAATGTAATTAACATATCACACTTTTATTGCTTCAACCCCCGATTCTAATTATGTTTAGCAAGCCTGAGGCAGTATACAGTGGCTATTTCTGTATCAAAACGCCTCTAAAAGATGTCCCGATTTCAGAATGGTAACGATACACATTTTAGTCAAATTAGGCCTGTAATTTCATATTACTTCAGACAAAATCTCCCCTACATGTAACTTTTCCGCCGTCGCGAACAAGGAGGGATCATAAAAATATTCTATGAATCCCAAATTTGGACTGGTAGTGTTTCTTTCACAAACACCCCAAAATTGCGGGCCCGTTTTGGATAGAGGAGGGCAGCAACATTCAGAGCTGAGAGCAATAGTGTTAATACTATATTGGGGGTATCTTTGGGAAAAGGCCGATAAAAAAATTCGGGCTAACCCCCATAAAATTGAAACGAAAAGTGATCTGCTGGCTATAATTTTGAATTTCCATTGAAAAAAGGGAGGCCAATCTTTTCCCAAGGGTCAACAGGCGGCGCTATTTCGGTCTGATTTTTCACTGTTTCCTATGAGGGCAGATCACTAACTCAAGTGAGAATTTCTGACCAGCTCATTAGCATTAAAAGTGCCCCCCCCCACAGTATCTTTTGAACAAGGAGATTG